AGCCAACATATGATCACTGAGGGGTAAATTCTAAATGCATGCAGTTTATTGTACCTTGATAAAGACGATTTTAAAAAGCTGATAGGGGATTCTGAAATCATGCCTTCTTTCTTCCTCTAATCCAAGATGCTGCTCAAGAAACAGAAATGAACAAGAATATCTCATGGACTTTAGATGCTTCCTAGGGTCTGACTATCCATTAAAAACCCAGACAATTTTTTTTTTTTTTGCCGCTAGATGGTACAGCAAAACAACAGAATGTTCCCGCGATAGTGGATGAACTGAAGGTAAAACTTGGGATTGGAAATGCACGATGGGGAAAGAGAACTTGGAGACACACAAGGAAGAAGCTAATTATGCAGAACTCAGAGGAGTGCTCATTTCACGCAACTTTTAAGTTGTTTTATTTTATAAGAGCTATGTACGGTTTGTAGCACACCCTTACAGAACTGACTGGAGAGGGGCTGGAGGTTGTGGAGTTATTTTGTACATCTGTAAATCAAAGGTAAGCAGCCATACAAGCTGTCATTGCAGAGATTTGACCGACTTCCCTCCATGCTGTGGGGAAACCCACTTCTGCCTTTATGATTCAATTCCTTTACTTCATATACATTTATCCTTTTTGACTTCTCCTTTGAACGCATCCTTACTTCTGTTAGGTTCCCTCAGTGAAATGAAAAACCTATAACACGTATTCATTTATATCTGTAGGAGTCATGATTTAAGGTGATTTTCTGAAAATCACCTTCAATAATACCTTTAGAGAAACAGGCTTATTAGAAACAAAGATTTCTCTAAACCCAGCTCGATAGCATGGGTAACTAGAACATCCATAATTAGAACACCAGGAAAAGTGGAGAGCTAGGCAAGCCAAGAACCGGAGATCGAACTCAGGACCTTGCACTTGTGAGGCATGCAGTGGAATCACTGAGCTAAATCCCCGGCCCAAAGAACCAAATTTTTGATTTATTTACCTTAAAAACTGGGTCCAGGTGAAGCTGTTAGAAGAGTGAGCACTGGCCCCAGATGTACTCAGAGGGGTCGGCCCTTGGTCTGCCTACACTACAATCCCACTCCTGCTCATGGTCTAGGGTTGGGCAGTCAGGCCACGCTAATCAGGGTAACGCCAGCAATGTGGCTTTGAGGCTGAGACACAGCTCATTTTTGCTGGGCTCATGTCCCAGAAGAGAGGAAAACCTGGATCTGCAGAAGGCCTGAGCAGCTCCTCAGACACCTGCACTCTGTGCCCTGTAAGACACTCCTACAGTCTAGCTAAAACCTCCAAGTTTCTTTCATACAGAGAGCTCTCAAATCAGATAGCTCTTACTCCAAATTAAACAGAGAAAACAGCACGAAGCAGTCAGGGTATCTGACTTTTCTCTGTTAGGCCGCACTTGTTAAAAAGGGAATGAACACCCATCCCCTGTGACAGCTATGGGGATTTAAATGAGGCAAATCCAGAAATGGGAAAACAGTTCTAGGCTCATACAATGAGCTCAAGACCTAGTGTCCACCCAGAAAGTAGCAAAGAGTCCTGCAGAAAGAAGTAAATGGAGTTGGGCTGGAGATGTAGCTCAGTGGTTCCGCTGCCTGCACAAAAGCACAAGGGCCTGAGTTTGATCCCCGGTACCGAAAAAAGAAAATGGATTTCACAGCAAAGGAGATGTTGGATGCGGACTAAATCTACAACAAATATTGTTTTCATGTGAAACAGATGTTGCTTTTGTGCTTCTCTGGTGAGCACTTATATTTTAGAAGTTCCTTAAAATTTTTTTAAACTATTGTTTTAGAGCAGTTTTCAGTTTACAGCAAAATTGACCACAAAGTACAGGAAGTAGCCATGGGCCCCTTCCGTGCCCACAGAAATTCCCCCACCAACATGTCCCCCTGTGTTACACCCGTCATTTAAGGGTTAGCTACTCAGATTGCAATGTTTAGCCCAGTTAGCTTTATTTATTATTTTGTCCCAGGACCAGTGACTGAACTTGGGACATCCCTGGCCCCCAGTTAGCTTTCCATTCTTCTGTTAATAATCTATTCACTGCTTATCCTCAAAACATTGATCAAAACTCATTTATTGAATCTTTTCTTGCTTCTCTGCTTGTCTGTCTGTCAGTCAGTCAATCAATCGTATACCTGCCAATACTTTCAGGCACCAGAAGATATTACAAAGTTAGCCTTCCAATTTTATCCTTCCTCCTCTCCCTGTCCCTCCCTCTCTTCTATTTCTGTGTTTTGGTTTTTTTGGGACAGGGTCTCACTATGTAGTTCAGGCTGGTCTTGAATTTACTAGCTGGCCCCAAACCAGTGAGGATCCTGCTGCCTCAGCTTCCTGAGTGCTGAGATCATAGGGATGCACCACCATGCCTGACCTTCTTCTGGTATTCGGTCTATGTTATCTAAGATGGCTTGAAAGTCCTGGGCTGAAGAGCTCCTCCTTGCTTTGGACTCGCTTTCTCCTGCATGGCTGAAAAGCATGTATGAGCCTGCCTGGTTCTATTTTCCTATGTTAGGCCTTTAATATTCAGGTGCTAATATTGAGGTTTGAGAGTGTTTTTCTTTTTGGTATTCTGAGATGTAATCTCACTATGCAATTGCCTTGAACTATGTGCCCCAACCTGGCCTCGAACTCTCAGCAATTCTCTTGCCTCAGCCTCCCAAGGGGTGGGATTACAGGTGTGCACCACCACGCCTGACTTAGAGTAACTTTCACCTAGGTTCCTCTTGTTTTCTCTTCTGGCTACATGGCAGTATTTTTTTTCTTCAACATTCAAAACATTATTTACTTAAAACTATAAAAGTAATAAATGTTTTCATAAAATAAGCAAATAAGACAGAAAAGTATAGTCTATCTGTTATGGCTTGAATCTCTAATGTACCCCAAATGTCTGGTGCTGTGGGAGGTGGGTAAGCTGTAGGACATGGGACTCAGGTGGGGGGCTGCAGGTCACTGGGTGGGCCTTGAAGGTTAGAAAGTGAAAATCTTAAACCTACGTAACAGCTGAGAGATTGGAATTACACCGATCAACATGGAATTGCTACAATTCTAACATGTTTGACTTAAGAAAATGTCAACTTGAAATGACTTAAAGTCATATGAAATACTCAGATACATAAACATATTCAGTAATTCTCAAGCTTTTGTTTTACTTGCTTATCTCTTTTCCTTTTTCTTTTAATTTTATAGTAAAGTCCATGCCTCACATGTGACATATATCTCTAAGACTGATTGAATTTCCTTATATAACCGCAATGGAATTACCATATCCAATCAATACTTCTTTGGCATTATCTTATACCTAGTTGACATGCATATCTGCCCTTTACATTGTTAAATAAAAATTATAGGCGGTCATTGTTTTGGAGTAAAGCTCCCAACGGAGAAGGCTAAAAAAATCAAAATGGAATCAGTCACGCGAAATTCCTACATCAGCAATTATCCGACCTTCAAGAAATTAGGATCAGAGTCGGTAGCCAGATTTCCCAAACGAGCCAATTTCAATCGGCATGATTGATGAAGTTCCCTCTGTCAAAAAAGCCATCTGAGTAATAACTGAACACTTATTTTTTCTGTTCTATATCACTGCTCCTGTCCTGGGGAAGGAGCTTTGTAATGACCTACCTGCTTTGGTGTCTCGTGTCTGCTTTCTTCAGCCTTCTGCTGTCTGTAACACAGCCTCGAGCCTGGCCTGGTGGCGCACACCTATAATCTCAGCTATGAGTGGCTGAAGGAGAAGGATCATGAGTTTGAACCCAGCCTGGGCAATTTAAGGAGATCGTGTCTTAGTGGATGAAGCCTTTCCTCAGTTCAGCGTAATACTTGTACTCGGACAATAACTGGGCAGACAGGAGCAAGTACTTGGGGCCCATGCATTATACTTGGTGCTTACAGTTCTTAAACCTCTTGCCTTCCCGTGCAGTCCCAGGACAGTGCCCCTCCGCCTTGACCTCCCTGCCACTGATCATAGAAGAAACTGGGTCTACCCTGTGTCTAACCCACATTCTTGATTTGTGTGCGCTTCCACGACAACACTTCACCTGCTCCTCACTCAGCCGTATTTTCTATAAACTGGACGGAGGACACAGAACCAATATGCTTAGGGACTACAACATCCTTTTCAGAGTAGGAAGATGATGCCCTTTACTGTGCCAGAGCAAGACAGGTGACCACGGTATTTTGGTTACACATTTCACACTGTGACCTTGGGTAAATTACCCAATCTGCCTCAGCCTCCATTCTCTTACTTGGAAAGTATGAATGTAATAATTCATACACTGAAGGGGTTTATGAAAATGAGAGAGCTGGGCGTGATGGCACATGCCTGCAATCTCAGAACTCGGGAGGCTGGAGCAGGAGGATCGCCACAAGTTCGAGGCCCACCTGGACTACACAGTGAATTCAAGGTTAGCCTGAGCTACATAGTGAGACCTTGTCTCAAACCAAAACAAAACAAAAAGCCCCACAAAAAAAAAACCAAAAACCCCCCAAAACAGGATGTGAGGGCGATCCGGCTGTGACATCTGTCACCCACGGATCACCAGGGTTTGCTCATTCGGCTGATCTGGCTGGCTTGGCTGGTGTCCCCTTCCTCCCTCACCGCTCCATGTGCGTCCTCCCTGAAGCTGCATGTTAGGTGGGAGAGGACGCCCACCCCCAACAGAGGACAGAGGAGGACCGTTTCCTCTGTCAAGGGTAGCTGCCCTCCCCTGCTAGAAACTCCAAAACCAAACCAAAACCAAAACAAACAAACAGCAGCAAAAAGAAAATGAGATAATGAATATATAATGACCGTCACACTGTCTGATCCGCAGACAGGAAGCAGCTGCTCAGTGAATGACGTGAACTATGTGGGTCAGTGATAAGAAATATCTTCAACTTTTACAAAGAAACACTCACTCCAAAAAGATGCTTATAAAAAAATACCCGAAAAGTTACATCTCTACTTTGATGTTGCAGAACATGTGCCATAATTTGTGTGTATGTCATAAGCAATACCTACACTGTAAGTAGAGAATCCAAGGGTTTTTGAAGAACAAATTGTCGTTAGAAATTTTGTTTTATTACCAAGGAAGCGGAATCTCTGGGCCAAATACATGCTACAGGAGAGAAGAAAAATTAGAAAAGGGAGTAAATATACAATAATTGCATCACTCTGACAATATTCTTTTTACCATACTCTCTATCATTATTAGAACAAACAGTACTTTTTATAGTATGAGAAATGTATAAATTATCAGAATCAAAATGGAGTCAGTTGTGTCAACCCTAACAAAAGGTACTTCTAACCTGGGTGCGTGGTGCACACTTGTAATCCAGCACTTGAGAGGCTGAGGCAAGAGGATCACCGCTAGTTCCAGGCCAGCCTGAACTACATAGCAAGACCCTGACGAAAAAAACCCAACCAACCAACCAAACAAACAAAAAACAAAAAAGAAAAAGTGAATGATAAAAATTCAGCTTTCTAAAAACATTCAAGCAAAGAGACATTTCACTTATGATTGTATACTGTGAATGATACTATCTTGAGTATGAAAGGTTGCTGCTGTACCAGAAGAGACAGATACTCCCACTCTAACAACTATAGTTAATCCTTAGATAGGAAATACACTAATGGACTCAAAGGGACCACTAATGCTAGTACCCAGGAACCTCCTAAATTGTCAAAATGTTAAGGCTGCAGGAAACTTTGGCTGTGAAAAATAATACAGAGGATGTTTCTTAGAATGTAGCAGGCTGGTAGTATTATATCCCAGGAGAGCCTGTGCTTAGCATGGGCAAGGTTGTGGGCTCAATCCCCAGCAACCCCCCACCAAAAAAAGTAAAATATAACATATTGATCCTGTCAATAAAATCTCAGCTCACATGACTGCTCATGAAAGTCCTGCTCTGTTCATGGAAGCAATAGTAGCCTCTCAGCTATTCTACGTGACACCAGCATATTATTAATCCTCTGCTAAGCACTTTTTTTCTTGTTTTCTCCTAACACAGAGTTTCACTATGTAGTCCAGGCTGGAACTCACCATGAGGCCATGACCTTGAATTTGTGACCTTCCTAAATTCTGAGATTACACATGCCGCCCCTCGCTGCTTGCAGAGCATTTTGGGGGGTTTGTTTACTTGGCTGGTTCCTCACTGGTTAATTTATAACATACATTCCAACTGGAGAAACCTTGTGTATTGTTTCTTTAGCAGATAGTAGGTATTCAATTACATAAATGTTTAATGACTAAATGAACACATAAAATCACATTAAAATGTTGTAATTGGACTACTTATATATTTTTCCATTAAGTTTACTGGTATATTTTAGGTATACAATCAGTTACTTTCATCATTAGGATCCTGTTCCTTTACATGATGTATCTTGGTTCTTACTTTTTCCCCGTTCCCCAGCCCTCCCTTTGCCTCCTCCACCCTTCCCTATTTACAAAGACTTTGTTTCCTTTTTTTTTTTT